ATAGATAGATAGATAGATAGATAGATAGATAGATAGATAGATAGATAGATAGATAGATAGATAGATAGATAGATAGATAGATAGATAGATAGATAGATAGATAGATAGATAGATAGATAGATAGATAGATAGATAGATAGATAGATAGATAGATAGATAGATAGATAGATAGATAGATAGATAGATAGATAGATAGATAGATAGATAGATAGATAGATAGATAGCTAGATAGCTAGACAGACAGACAGACAGACAGACAGACAGACAGATAGATAGATAGATAGATAGATAGATAGATAGATAGATAGATAGATAGATAGATAGATAGATAGATAGATAGACACTACACTCACTCTCATTCACTGACTCCCACGTCACTCAACCACCTTTTAAAGCTTCAAGCGGGCAAAAACAATACCTGCGCCTCACATGCATATTTTGTTTCGGTATAATGCGAATTGATTTTATTGTGTGATTACTCGAATGACGGAGAGAATAATCTATTCTTACAAATTTGATCACGCCAGCCCTCGTGTGAAGTGTTCATAAGAATTATGGGAAATGTTATCGAGAATGCGGGGAGGGTCGTAAAGCATTGAATTAGGTAGAAATAATTTGGTAAATATATGTTCGCTACTTCGTGAATTGAATAAACGAGTCACTACTAAATAATGGCTGAACGCTTAAATTAGATGGGCTCTAGATTCTTTATTTGTACTGAAGCTATACCAGGCTCATTTCACTTGTCTAAACAATCCATAAAAGGCCACAAGAGTTGACCGAACAATCAGCCGTGTCGATGAAGCATCGTGAAATTGGCGCATTTCTCCATCGTGATGGACAAGCATGGAATGTTACGTCGGCACCGGGAGGGTTAATGGCGGCATTTGTATGCAAATATGTGTTTAAGTGTGTCTGCCCTTGTGGGAAGGTTTAATGAAGGAAGCGAGCCCAGGCAGTAGGTGACATTCAGTGACTGCGTAACCTCGGCGGATAGCTTCCCTGACGCCATTTGTGAATGTTAATTGCTTTTCAGCCCTCCTTGCTCTCCACCCTTGCCCAAGTCGCACCAAACGTGGCAATCTTGTCGCCGCAAAGTTGCACCCCAAAATGTTGTGTGACTGTCGATTCGAATGGATTAAGAAAAAAAAAGGGCGCAGGTATTCAAATTAGTCAAGCGTCTGTTAGTAAAAACGTCTCGTCTTCCCATTTGCACATTTCCCTTTTTTCGAGGCTCGACGAGGGAAGAGCACTGCCCGATTAGCATATCCGATTGAACAGAGAACTAATCCGTCCAAATATAATTTAGGACGAGGGGATCCGGCATGAAAGGCGACAACCTTGAGTGCGCGAATTTGGATGAGGTGAGATGAATGAAGGAATGTCTGCGATAGACATCTCTTCCATTTCAAGCAGCCGCTTTGAATTGAGCTAATCCGGCAAAGTGCGCAAATGAAAACCTTGTCGCTTATGAAAAATCTTAAATAATATTTAAAAACACACACACACACACACACACACACACACACACACACACACACACACACACACACACACACAGATATAGGCCTTTTGATTTGGCTGTGGAAGGAAATTTGCCTAAATCAAAGAGATTAGCACCAAGAGATATGGATTATGTTTGACTTTCATGCTCAGTCAGTCTCTTTTCCTCCACATCAGGACGTTCAGAACGCGCCGTTTCACACTGGAGATGCAGATAAGAGGCACATGGCGCACGGTCAAATCTACCTGCGATCTGAATTTGGCTCGCGAGCGCTTTGTATTTCTCAGGCCTATTAGACGGATTCACATTTGCAAATGACACACTTTGGATGGCGTCAACCTCATCGCCCGTTTACGGCCGATTACAGCTCCAAAGCGGCGCGGCGTTTGGCGTCTTTGCTCGGGAATTCGGCGATGGCATCTCGCCGTTCGTGAGTGGCCGGAGGTGGCAATAAACCATTTATGATTGTTGTGAGTGCGCGTTAGCGGGAGAGAGGCCATTTAGTGCGGGAATGATGTTTAATGGCCTCTGCTAAGTGGACAACATTGCTTCGTCGGCTTCATCGCTATCAGCTGTTACAGCTAACACCCTCTGTGCTTTTATTAGGCTTTGCAGGCACTCTCTTGGCCATCGCCGAGCAAAAGCCATATAAATGCTAACAAAAGGCCATTGATTTTGTTTTTCTTTGCGTGCGTGTGCGCGCGCGATACATCAATCTCATTAACTTGTCGCGTCCAGGGCAAATGCCGCCATCCAAATGGCCTCCTGTGCAAAATAACGCCGTGTCGCGAACGCCGCTGTCCATGATATGCAATCATTCGAGCCGATTACGGCACTAAAGCAAGACCCTCATAAACAAAGCAAGGGGAAATGGGAAGAACACGCTCTGCGGCGTTAAAAACAAACGATGCCACCGGTTGAGATCAGGAAACCTCTTAAAAGAAGTTGATTTCAAGAATGCTACTATGTCCTTAGCCTAATAGCATAATTGCCGAAGTATTTTTTTCTTCACCCAGAAAACAAGGGGGGAAAAAAACAATTAATTTAGCCTTTTGCGGATTACCATGACCTGGCTGACAGATAATTCAGAGAGACATAAACACACACACACACACACACACACACACACACACACACACACACACACAATTATTCGACATCACGTTAGCATATACAGTATTGATATTCTGATCGTAAGTTATTTTTAACTTGGGCAATTGTGCTATGAGCTTCACAATAGCCTACTTCTTCTAAAATCTGTGTGTTTCTGGTTCTTTCTGGGAAGTCAGCAACACACGCACACACACACACACACAAATGGAATGAAATTAAATGTATTGGCACTTCACTTATCAGTGACAACCCATCCAAGAGACGTAAAAAAAAAAAAAAAAACGGACAGAGGGAGACAGAACAGAGAAGCCTGACGAAGGAACAAACGGTGCCTTGTTTATCCCCAGACAAAAAGAAGCAAAGGAAGGGAGGCAAAGCAAGTCCCAAAGCATGCTCCTGTAAATGAGGGGCACAGTATGGGTTTGGGGGGAGGAAAAAAAAAAAAACTCTGCAATAGCCACGTGAATAGGACACATGTTGCAGCTCCGAAACAAGGAGAGCTGTAGTGTTGGGTTTTTAAAACGTCCAATTTATTAATGCTTTTAACACTCTCAATAAATACAGACACGTCTCTGTCCTACTACGTGCCTTCTCTTCCGCCGTTCGACTCGAGAGGCGTTCAAAGACCGCCTCCAAAAACGTAAAGTAACGATACCTTTAATGACACTAAGAAAATCAAAAACACTGCATCAAAACAGAAAACCCAGCGGAGAAATCACAAAATAAACTCTAATGGGGGTGTTTGTGAACACACAACAAAGGAATAAACAACATAGATTCTGAAATAGTCCGGTCTCCTACACATACAAACAAAAACGATTAATCTACTGTACTTGCACGTGTGGGAGGGGAGGCTCTCTTGGGCACGGGTGGAAGTAGCAGCCCGGAAACACTGTTCAGTGACTGAAGACTTTCACGGCACGCCGCACCTCCTCAGCACACCTTGAGTGTCACCGGGGGAAGCTGAGGGGTTGCCGGGAGGCGCCATCAAGAAAAATGTCAAATGGATTTCTGCTGACATCAAGGCGTGTAAATCACATCAATTTGGGCGGGGACTTTGCAAAGCCTTGCGGAGATAGAAGGTGCCTTCAAGGAGTTAGCTTGTTAGCATTTTGTCTGGAGATCTTTGTACACGTGGTTTGGATACTCTGGCAACCAAACCAGGTGGGCTGTTAATCAATCTCTCAATTCATACCAAAACATCTCTTTTTTAAAATGTTTTTTTAAAAAATGAAAACCGGACTGAGCAATTGGCCAGCATACCTGCTAATTCCATCCAACTATCTGTCCTCATTAGCCAACGCTATCACTGTTGCGCCACTGCTAATCACTTAACCAGGACTTGATCAATCTTCCCCTGTTTTTTTTTTTTGGTTAGTTTTTATTGTTTGCGTCACAACATCTAATTGGTCACATTGCTTTGCGATAGTTCAAGGGAAGGTTCTCAAAGAAGGACCAAATCGCATAGAGTCAGTTAGCAAGCTACATCATACTTCGGAGCACAAAGCGTATCTCACAGTGGCTTTTCTTTTTGGGCAGAAAGGCCAACCCGGGAAAAGGGATTTGCTGGTTTCCATCTTCTTGTTTCGCTCGCTCCAAAGTCAGAAGGTATTATTTGCAATATTATCTTTCAGCTTGTTTATTTCAGTGGAGTGACTTGAAGATGGCCGGACTTTCAGTGCAGTGACCCGAGGTTTTCCCTCATCGTGTTTCGCTCTGTGATAAGGTCAGTGGAGCTATGAAAGCAAAACAAACCAAACCGGAATCTTGACCCCCGAACACTTAAAGCATGTCATGTATTCAAGTTACAAAACCAAACAACAAAAAAAAGTCTCTGTTAAAAGATTTCTGGCCATTTAAAATGCTACATGAAACCATGTTGCTAGGCTTCTTTGGAGCAATAATTAGTGTTTTGATGAGGGTTTAATCAAGCCTACTTTCTCCACGAAGTGTCAAGTGTTGACACGTGGATAAAATTCAGTGCTGTAGTCTACACTTTGCAGGGTGTCTTGACTTAATTAAGGCGTTAATTAGAATAATGGCGCGTGCGTTTCATGTCCACTTTACGGCATCTGACTGTGCCGCACTACTGAACGGTATCGCAAGTGCCTCAACACCTTTTGTATCCTATCAGCCAACACGGATTTTCAGCTGCCACAGTTTTGTCATGAGGAATGTGAGGGGAGAAGACAAGGGAGGTATTATTTATTAATAGTCAGACTCCCCAAAGCTCTGTAAAACATCTTGTTGAGCTCCCCGAGGTGGGCGCCGCGCTTCAAAGCAATTAAAAGCAAGGCTGCGAGCGGAGGGAGGCGGTGAGTGAAAGAGACACAGGACCTGGGGTCCATTCTCGTTTTATTAAAGGTCCAAAAAAACTTGAGTATAAGCGAATGCCTGTCTGGAGGCTTTAAAAAAAAGTAAATGTCCGGACTTGCGAGTTGCAGAGAAGTGATCAGTCAGGCGGATTCTTTCTCTAGCCTGAACTTGGTCAGGTTTGTGACATTTTCACGACTACAAAGAGGACACAAAATCACTTCTTTATTTCATCGTATGCTTGAGGTCATTGTCCATCTGCGCTGTGAAGCGCCACCTGAGGAGTCCTAAAGCACTTGGCAGAGTGTAAACAGATAATAAAAGTGTTTGGTCCCCTGGATTACTGTGATGCACTTTATTTCGGAGTCAGCCAGTCCTCCCTCAAGCGTCTCCAGTTGGTCCAAAGCGCTGCTTC